GCCTACACTCCAGCAGTATGGGCTGGCTCTGGCCCAGCCCTTGCCCTGACTTATTCTAGTCCAACAGCAGCCATAGTTGTTGGTAATGTTTCTTTCCTAAAGACATACACACATGTGGGGTTGGGGTATAGTTCAGTGGTAGAGTGTGTGCTTAGCATGCAGAAGACCTGGGATTCAATCCCCAGCATGCATGTGTGCATGTGTATGTGCACGCACACACACGTACACACACACAAAGATATGTAGCTGGGGCTGGGAATGTGGCTCAAGTCGTAATGCTCTCGCCTAGCATGCGTGGGGCTCTGGGTTCGATCCTTAGCACCACATAAAAATAAAGATGTTGTGTCTACCGAAAACTAAAAAAAAAAAAAAAAAAAAAAAAGACATGTAGCTGGCCATGGTGGCACACTCCTGTAATCCCAGCTACTCAGGAGGCTTAGGCAGGAAGAGAATAGGTTCAAGGCCAACCTGAACAACTCAGCAAGATCCTGTCTCAAATTTAAAAAAAAAAAAAGGTTGAGGCTGCTGCTGGGTAGTAGAGCACTTGCCTGGAATGTGCAAGACCCTGGTTTTAATCCCTAACACTGCAAAAAATAATAAATAGATTAAAAAATTAATAAGCAAATAACAGATGCATGGTTAAACAAAACAAGAACAAAATACCTTACCCTGCTACATTGCTCCTCCTTGACCCCTCCATCCCAATCCTCCTTCATTTCAGGCCCCTATCCAGAACCTAAAGCACAAACTGGACTGGACTGGACTGGCACATTCAGAGTTCCCCAGAATTTGCCTTCCTTCCTCCTTGACTGCCCACACTGTTCCCTCTCCAAAATTGCCTTCTCCTCTCCTCTGATGAACTCCTACAGGCCTGTCTGTCCTCAGTTCCTGCCACCTCCCTCCATGAGGATTGGAAGTAGGACTGACTATCCCAGAGCTTGGAAAAAGAACAAAATAGGCTACAAAGTCAGCAACTCATGGAGGGTTAAAGCTGGCCTGAAGAGACTGGCGGAACTGAAACTGGCCTGGAACACCTAGTTGGAAAGCTCCAGAGAATCTGGTGAGTGCTAGGGATACAGTGGTCAGATCTATGTAGACCTGGGCTGGGAAAAGGCTGGGCTGCAATTGCCAGGATGAGGCAAGGAGTCAAGGATTGGGGTGGGAGATGAGGCTTTGTCCAGTCTCCCCAACCTAGGGAATCTTCCAATCTACACTTCCAATGAAAAAATAACCATGCTGCTAGGGACATCATTCAACATAGATCAGATGATGGTCATGATGTACCAGCCTCTCAATGTTTACTGGGATTAGTTAGTTAAAATGATGTCTCCCCAACAGTAAATCCACCTCAGCCTTTAGGAAAGGCCAGAATCTTGTTTCCCACCAGAACAAAGTTCAGCGAGGGACCTTGTAGACATCAGACTGGCCTCCAGGGGGCAATAGTGTCAACCCCAACATTAGCTATTGAAGTTCCTTATTAGCTAAAAAAAGGACCTTCAGCCAGCACTGAAAATCACACCATGGAAAACACACAGCCACAAAAGCCCTATGGGATGGAGAATGCCTGTAATCCCAGAAACTGTAGAGGCTGAGGCAGGGGGATGGCAAGTTCAAGGCCAGCCTTAGCAGCTTAGTGAGACCCTCAAAACTTAGCAAGACACTGTCTCAAAAAAGTTCTAAGGATAAATTCCCATTAATTTGATCCTCAGTACCACAAAAATGAAATAAAAATAAAAAAAGGACCTGCATACCTCTTCTTGGAAACCCTAGGGTGATAGAAGTAGGGAATGGGAAACTGACAGAAGGGAGTAAAGGTAAAGAAGTCCAGGACAAGCTTGCTGCATGGTGGGGTGCTCCAGGACTGGAGGTGCCTAGGGATTCATCTTTCCCAAACTATATGCTGATTCCTGTTACTGCTTCTCCAATCTCAACCCCCACCCTATTTTTGGGGTGTCTGCTGGATCTGGAGGCTCTCAACTACCCCAGGTCACCTCACCACATTTGGTACTGTAAAGGCTGCTAGAATGTTGTTGCCTTTCTAAAATGAATCTTGGGGCAAGATCAGGACAACAGGCTGCCCAAGGCTCAGAGCCTTCCTGGGTCCTCCTGGGCTCTCTAATCCACATGCACCAACCCCAAACTGGAGGACCCTTTATGAGGCACTTTTCCTAACTGCTTTTTTTCTATGAAGATCTTGCATCTTCTGACCTTTGGGACAGCAAGAACCTTGAGCCCAGACCCCAGGGCCAAGGGTGTCATGATAAAATTGCCCTATATCAGGGACTGTACTTGTACCATGTCAGAATGTCTCTTGAGGTTATCAGCCTCCTCAGGCCCCCACTTCTTGGCCCCACAGTTTAATCACTGGCACCCCAAACTCAGCAGCCTGCACCCCACTTCCTGAGTACCCCCTATGTTCCATGCCTGGCTCTGCACCTGTGAGGATGTCCTGACAGCAGTCCCAGAGGGAGGACACTACAATTATATACCATGTGTCCTAGGGAAGCTGGGGCAGAGGGGTTCACTGACTGCCAGTATCACAGAGAGGAACCTGAATTCTGCACTGGAGACCATGCAGCCTTGGCAGGCCTCTACCCTACTACTCCCACACCTCCACATTTTAGTCCAGCACAGCAGAATAAGCCTGACAGGGTTCAAGTCTTGGCTCTGCCATGTTCCAGCTGTGTGGCCTTGGGGAGTCCCCAAGTTTTAGGGCTGGGATGTGGCTCAGTAGTAGAGCACTTGCTTAGCATGTATAAGAACCTAAGTTCAATCCCCAGCATTGCCAAAACAACAATAACAAAAAGGAACCTTAGTTTCCCCATCTATAAAATGGAGATGATACAAAGAGAGCCTTCCTCTTGGCTTTATTGTGAAGGTTAAAAGAATAAATGCATGTGTGGGCTGTGGCTGTGGCTCAGAGGTAGAGCGCTTTGCCTTGCACATGCAAGACCCTGGGTTCGGTACTCAGCACCACATAAAAATAAATAAAGATATTGTGTCCAACTACAACTAAAAAATAAGGGGCTGGGGATGTGGCTCAAGTGGTAACGCGCTCGCCTGGCATGCACAGGGCGCTGGGTTCGATCCTCAGTACCACATACAAATAAAGATGTTGTGTCCACCGAAAACTAAAAAAGTAAAAATATTAARATAATTCTATCTTAAAAAAATTTAAAGGGGCTGGGGATGTGATTCAAGTGGTAGTGCGCTCGCCTGGCATGCGCAGAGCGCTGGGTTTGATCCTCAGCATCACATAAAAATAAAATAAAGATGTTGTATCCACCGAAAACTAAAAAATAAATACTACAAAAATTCTCTCTCTCTCTCTCTCTTTTAAAGGGGCTGGGGATGTGATTCAAGTGGTAGTGCGCTCGCCTGGCATGCGCAGAGCGCTGGGTTTGATCCTCAGCATCACATAAAAATAAAATAAAGATGTTGTATCCACCGAAAACTAAAAAATAAATACTACAAAAATTCTCTCTCTAAAAAAAAATATATATTTTTTTAAAAAAGAATAAATGCATGTGAAGTCATAGCCATGGTTATTTATGTGGTACGCTCTCTTTCTGGCTAGGGTTGGGTGGTATAGGGGTAGGGCAACAAGATTGGCTAGTTGAAGGCCAAGGGCACCAGGCCCAAGCAGCCCAGTAATGGGACCCCTCCTGTGGCACTGAAAATCACACCATGGAAAACACACAGCCACAAAAGATTGGCCTGAGCCTAGTTACATGGGCCCCACATCACCTGCCCTGAATGTGACCCATGTAGGCCCTGGTTCTGCCACCAGGCAAGATTCAGCAACCCTCCCCTGCAGCCACCTTCCCATCTGTAAAATGGGTTGGGAGGAACTGGAGGGCCATGCTTGCCTCACAACAGAATTGGTGGATCCTGATGTGTTCGGTGATGGATGTGACCTCACTTCCTTGGAATGTAAGTTATACATTAATGCATTCCAATGGTAACTATGGCTGAGCAGGGTGGTCACAAGATTCCTGAGAGTTCAAAGCCAGCCTCAGCAATGGGGAGGCACTAAGCAACTCAGTGAGACCCTGTCTCTAAATGACATACAAAATAGTGCTGGGGATGTGGCTCAGTGGTTGAGTGTCCCTGAGTTCAATCCCTAGTACTTAAAAAAAAAAAAAAAAAGTAGCTATGGTTCCAGTGTGCTGAGGGGACAAGTTCTACCTGACCACATTACAGGGATGGATTAGAAGAGATGGACATAATCAGAACAATGAAACATCCAGGTGCTAGGAGCCAAAACAAGGTGGCCTGATCAGGTCTAGAGAGGCTGGTCAGGGAGCACTTCCTGGAGGAGGGAGCACAAGGTGCACCATGATTTATGGAGAACCAGGAAGTTCTGAAATAACGACAGGTGGAAAAAGAAAATGTAATAAAATAGCATTTAAAACAGACTGCGAGGTTGGGGTTGTGGCTCAGCGGTAGAGCGCACGCCTCACACGTGTGAGACTCTGGGTTCCAGGTTCGATCCTCACTCAGCACCACATAAAAATAAATAAGTGAAATAAAGATATTGTGTCCAACTACAACTTAAAAAAAAAAACATAAATATTTAAAAAAAAAAAAGACCTGGTATGTGATGTGTGGTGACAGGGTTGGAGGGAGTGAAGGGAACTGAGACTAAACTCCTCACGCAGGTAAAGGTCTGCGAGCGAGCGGCTGAAAGCATGAATTGGGTTTTCTTGGGGAGGTGTCACCTAGAGGATCAGCTTAGGGAGCCCGCGGATGGTTTGGAGACCCAGTGCCAGCACGCGGCCCAGTTTGGGGTCCCAAGGATCACCCGGGATTCAGCCGCGGCCAGGGTAGTCCACGTGCAGGACTTATGAGTCCCATGAGCTTCTCCATGCCCCGGAGACTTCCATCGCGACTCCAAGGCCCCTAACCTAACCCTTGACCCCTGGCGGTTCCCCACCTGCACCGCCCGCTTGGGCGGTGCTGGGCGCAGCAGGCTCCCCGGCCGCAGTGCCGCATCGCCGGCCCCGCCCCCGCCCGCTCTCCCCCCGGCGGCCGCGGCCCCATCGGTTCCAGAGCCCAGGCCAGCGCAGAGCCCAGGTGAGTGCCCACCTCTGGGACCCTAGACCCCGGAGCCCCCACGGCTCCACCCAGTGTCCGGGTCTCGCCGTCCCCACGCGTGCGCTCGTGGGTCCCGGACCTAGGGCCCCTGCGTTGGGGGCGGGGTGTCTGAAGCTTCGACCAAAGAGGTGGTGGACTGGAGCGCCCCTCTTCCTTATGCCCTCCTGTGCTGGTACTCCCTCCCGGCTTCCAGCAGAATCTTGCAGTGTGCCAGTACCCCCCTTCCTGGGCTGCAGAGTCTGGTGCCGGTACAGGGACACAGCCGGCAAGGCTGATGGAAACGCATTTCCAGAACGAGAGAACTGCACGTGCAAAAGCAGGGAGAGTGGACAGGTTGGCACCAGGGCTCCATGGGGAAGGGGCCAGAGCTGAGTCCCCCTTAACTTGAATGTAGGAGTGAGGAGCTCAGATGCCATCCCCAGTGTGCCTGAAAGCCCTGAAGGCCCAAGCTGGGCAGCCTGCCCACACCCGGGAAAAGTGGGACCAGGAAGGGGAATAGCAGAGGAGTGGGGACTGACTCTGCCAAAGGTCCAAGGAGGCTCCTACCCAGCCTTACACCCTCTGGGACTCTAGGAGCCCTGGGGGGCAAATAGGAGCACCTTTGTGAGGTAGGGATAATTCAGTACCTCCCTCAGGGGTTAATGGGAGTCCCTGAGACAAGACACAAAGTCCTGGTGGGTGGTTAGCTTTGGGCACTCTTGGAACTTCACAGCTGTGGGCAACTTGTAGACAAGAGACAACAGTCTTCAAAACTTGGGGCGTGCCTTCTGCCATGATCATAGCAAGGACCTTTGCTTTTGAGTGGGGGTGACTGCAATCCAAGCTGGCTAGCACCCTGTAGGTGGAAAGCCTATCTGAGAGCCTCAACTCCTGGAAAGGTGGGGAACAGCCTGACCAAGCCCACAGTAGCAAGACCAGGTCTGACCATTTCTGGGATTTATGGTCCAGCAAGTGAGTCCTGAGACCAGGCAGGAAGGAGTGGGCAGGGCTGAGGCACAGGTAAACCCAGAAGCAGGGGAAGGGTTCCCTGGTGCCCAGGGAGGGGGCAGGTGGGGCAGGTGGCAGCTGAGTTTTATGGACATGCCTTGGTGACAAGTGGGGGAAAGAGCAAAGGTGACTTTGGGTGCCTCCTCACCTGAAATGGATGTTTCAAGGGCAGGTAAGATCGGGCCAGGCAGTGGATGGACCTTCCCCAACTTTGTCCTTCTTTCTTACTGCTCTCCTTGCTCTCAGGCACCCACCCAAGGCCCCTCATGGAATCTGGACTAGATCAAGGGTACCTTAGCCCCACCTCAAATTAGACTTCAGGAAGAACTTCCAGGGAGGAAACAGAGGGGAATGGCAGTGGGGTGGACTGAGGAAAGGTCATTTGTAAATAAGACAGTTACACTTTGTCCTGGGCCCTCCAAAGTCCATTCATAAGCTGCATCTTCCAGAAGACCCACCTTATGCCTTGAGGACACCTTGGCTGTACTGATCTTTCTATTGACTAGGTGCCCCATCCCCCCAGCCCAGTGCCTTACAGGGCCTTAGAGTGATGGGGGTGAGGCCATGCTCTTCTTAGAACTAAGGCAGGGAAGGGGGTGGGAGGACACACAAATTCCCCTACCTTCTGCTTGACCTTGATGAGACCTTGGCTCCTCAGTTTCTCAGACTTCTGTTGGGCATGACCTCAGTGCCACTGGGCCAGGGGTGGGGGTGGGGGAACCTTTATGGCTGCTAGGCACGGGCTGTGGCAGGGCTGTGTGCCTGGCTTCTTTCTCCCCCAACCCTATTAGTCCCGGGCTGGCCGCCCGCTCTTGTTCACCACAGAGCTGGGTTTCCCTGGGGACCAGTGGACTGGCCTAGCCCCACACTCCCGCCACAGCCCCTCCTGGCCACAGCTCACACTGGGAGGAGGGGTAGAAACTGAGCCACCTCCTGGACCCTGCCCTGCCTTTCAGGGCCTAGCAGCCTCCGTCCACTGCTGGGCTGAGAGGAAGGAATTGTGTTTGCTTTTGGAGGAGGTAGCTGTCCAGAGACTGCCAGCCAGGGTGGAGGCTGAGGCCAGAGGGAACCCTGTGTCACTCCCATTTGAGGAAGAAGAAATCCAAGGACCAGGAAGGCTCTGATTGCTCAAGGTAACCCAAGGTTTGACTCAAGAATGGTGGCCTCCTGGGAAAATAGATGGTCTCAGAGCTTCCTCCAAGACTGTAGGATTTGGAAAAGGGAAGTAGAGGGCTAGGGGCCTGAGGAGTCAGCAGAAACCGGGATGATTTTTGGACAAGGCAGCCACGGGACTGGACAGAGGGTGGCCAACATTGGAACAGAAGGGGTCTCCTGACAGTGGGCATAAGCCATGTACAGTTGAGATGGGGGATGTGGGGTGCTGAGCCTCAACAGGCCTCAAAGGGGAGGAATCCTTCAGGATCCCCTACATGCAAGACTTAGCTCAAATATAGGACTCTCCCAGAAACCCCCACAGTCTGTGTCTCTCTGTCTCTCTCCTCCCTCCCCATGAAAGCTTCATCCTAATATGGCCAGTCTCCCCTGCAGGTCCTAGAGGCAGTTCCAGCTGGCATGGCAACTCCAGCATCTCTAAGAGCAGCAGGAGACCCAGCCCCATGGGGGTCGCCCTAGACCTCCAACAGACCAACCATCTGTGGCCCTGCCTGCCTGCTGATCCTCAGGTCACTCACCATGGGTGGCTGCTTCTCCAAGCCCAAGCCAGGTACCTCCTCCTCTCTTACTGCCTCCTCCCTCCCTCCTGCCTCTCTCTCTCTCTCTCCATTACCTTCCTCCCCCTCCCTTCTGCACTCTGCCTGCCTCCAAAGTAGGTCAGGCTAGGCAGGAGCCCCAGAATGTTAATGTGCTGAGATAGGAGGTGGGTAGGGGATCTGGAGAGGTTTTCCAGGTGCTCCCTCCAGTGATAGGCCCTCTTTTTGGGGGCGTTTGAGTGCTAGTGGTGGGAAAAGCAGCTGGATCTTTGGGGGCTTTGAGTGCTGGTGGTGGAATAGCAGCTGGATCTTTGGAAGGGGAGGAAAGGATTTCTCCCGTTGCTGAGTTAGGAAAGGGGGGCTCTAGGAATGCCTTTGGCTACTGTGTGACCTCTCTGAGCCTCAGTTTCCCTCTCTTTAAAATTATTCTACCCTCCCTGACCTCTTGAAGTTGCTGAGACGGTACAGTGGGCAGGTTCCTACCAAAGAATGTCCCTACCTCTTCTCAACCCCTCTGAAACTTAGGCTATCATCTGGACATGCTTTCCCATTTATATAAGAAATTTTTGCCATGTCTAAATCAACTGGCTCTACCCAGGGTGCTAGGGGAATCCACATCTACTTTCCACTGGAGACCCTGTCTGTGGGGCTCTCCTTCAGGCCCCCAATTTCCTCTTTCTTCCTCATAACATCTCAAGAGGTAGGGCATGCAGATATGTCACAAATAGAGAAATTGAGGCCTCAAGAGTCCTCTAGAACTCAGACAATGCTCCACCCACATTTATGCAAGCCACCCTATCCTGGGCAACTTGCCCCTGCCAGCTCACCCCAGCTCCCTTTACCTGATACCCATCAGCTCCATTACCTTGGAACTTGTGAGCCTTTTCTTCTTTTCCTGGGTTCAAGGGAGAAGTTGAGGTGGGGAGGAGAGATGTTTATGCCCTACCAGGCAGGGGGACCCACCTGCACCTGTCCCAAAAACTACACTTCTCCTTTGCACTGCTGTCCTGTGAACAGCCAGATCTGGGCCGGGTCCCACCACCTTCTTGTTTGGAAATATAGCTTAGGAAAATGACGTCCACTGTCTTTACCTCAGCCTTCTCCCAATATAAACAGACAGAAGGATGCTAGCTGGCCCCAAACTGGGCACCTGTGGGACTGCTGGGCTGGCAGGAGGTCCTGGGCAAAAGATGTCACCTATAAGTTCTTTCAAAGGACCCCCAAAGGGCCGGTCTGCATGGGTCCCCTCACCCTAGTATTTCCAATATGGGGTCTAGACATAAGAACTTGGGCTCTTGAGCCTCAATTCGGCCGTACGGCTTCCAGGCTGTGTGGCTTTGGGCAGGTGATCATACCTCTCTGATCTACTTTTTTCTCATGTGTAAAGTGTGGTTGTGCTTAGCACAGGACCTTGCACTCAGGAAGCACTTTTAAAATAGTATTGGCCCTTTTTCTCTGAGCTGGATTTCCTGCTGCCAGGATTCCCCTGTGGAGGCACAGTCCCCAGGTGCTTAAGCTAGACAGGTCAGGTGTGAGGCCTAGGGAATTTCAGGGTGTAGGAATGAGAGTTCAGCTGGGGTGAGCAGGGACAATAGAAAGACCCTGGTTCTGTGCATGAGCAGATCCCCCCACCTACCCTTCTATTGCTGCTCCTGACTTAATGTCTTCCTGTTAGACTTGCATCAGTGAGTGTGCCTTGGAGCCTTCTGGCAGGAGGTGGAGGATGAAAACTGACTGGCTTGGCTGTTATCTGGCACTCCTGCCAGGCTGTTCCTGTGGACTCCCACAGCTGTCATAGCTGATGTCAGCTGAGTCTGAAGTATTTTTCTTTTTAATTCTTCCAAAAACATTCTAACACCATTACATAAAGTGTGGAAAATGGGAGGAAACTCCCCACTGGACAGGACGACCTTGTGTGGCTATGTGCTCATACACTCTTCCTACCAGTCCCAGTCATGAACTGACCTTTGCCACTATCCCCTGCCTCGCCTGGGCTGAGTTGGGGGATGGGACATGCAGATGAAGGGCAGGAGGTCTAGACAGAGTGGGGAATTAGCTCAGAATGAAAGGAGGGCCTTGCAGGAGCTGGGCTGCCATGGGAGGCAGCACCAGAGCTGTGTCTGGGTATGGGGGTAGGAGTTAGCCAAGGCCTAGAAGAATGGCAGCCCAGGCCAAGCAAATGGTGCAGGCAAAGGCCAGGGTATGTGACTCAGCATCCACCCGGGGTTCTTGGGTCTTTTTTGTTTTTAGGAGTGTCAGGTCTGAAGTAGAAGGGAGCAGAGGTCTGGAGGCTCTGGTTCCTTGAGAGAGGCACCTCCTGCTCATGCTGTGCCAGAGGCTTAGTTTCCTCCCTGCAGCAGCAGCCCAGGAGGCCGGATTATCACTGCTAAAAATTCTGTTTATTGTTCCCTTCTAATTAGAAAAATACCCCAGGCATGCCATAGGGAATTTGGAAAATGTGGGAAAGTATAAAGAAGAAAGTGACAGTCTTTGGCTACCTCCTAAAGTAGGCCACGTGGGTATAGTGAGAAAATGTCTTCTGTGTGGAGGCCATGGATGTGGGCCCTCTGTGCCTTCTGCGCTGTTCAGACCTGTTGACATGTACCTTTACCTCATGGAATTCATTCACTCCCAGGGCCCCAGACCCGTACATAAAGACACCGAAACCCAGGACTTGGGAAATGATGAATGAATCTCAAACTTGTGAGAATAATTATTTTAAGAAGTTGAAGCCAGGCACAGTGGCACACACTTGTAATCCCAACAGTTTGGGGGACTGAGGCAGGAGGATTGCAAGTTCAAGGCCAGCCTCAGCAACTAAGTGAGGCTCTAAGCAACTTGATGAGATTCTGTTTCAAAATTTTTAAAAATTTAAAAAAGGATTGAGTGATATAGCTTAGTGGTAAAGTGCCCTGCTTTAATCCCCAATACAAAAAAAAAAAAATGTTGGAATTTGTGTGTGTGTGTGTGTGTTTGTGTGTTGGTGGTGATACTAGGAATTAAACCTAGAGCTTTCCATACTCTAAGCAAGCATTCTATCACTGAGCTAAATCCCCAGCTCTGTTCATATTTTTTTAATTTTGAAAAAACCATTTAAACCTATGGTAAATTTACAAGAATAATACAATGAATCCTTAGTTTCTAATCATCCAGATTGACTGTGAACTGAGCTGTACCCAGTGTGGGACCTCATATTTGTATATGTACGTGAATCGTCCCCTAAATGTGTCCCTGAGCTGCTAGGGACATTGTTGTCCATCAGAACATGTATGACACAAGACATCAAAGTTCTTTCCTCCAGAGATCCTGGAGGGGAGGTTTAGGGTTGGAAGAAACTCTGTTCTGTGACCCTCTCATTAATTTTGACATCGAAAAAGAAAATGTGCAGAACTGCTCAGTGATACAGCATTTACGTAGATGCACAAGTTCCTGAGTTTGATCACCAGCACTGGATAAAAAGAATAAAAAATAAAGAAAGAAAAGAAAAAATGCAGAAATGAATTCAAGCTGACCAAGAAATCCCCTTCTTATGCCCTTCCTCCTCTGTCTCTTTGCTGGGGTACACAAGGCTTTCTGGAGAAATTGAGGGGAAGGGCTGAGCCTCCTGAAACTCAGAGGGGCTGGCCTCTGCCCCCAGCTTTTGGGGTGGGCAAGAAGATGGGGTGGGCTGAGGGGCTCATGATATGGCCCTGCCCACAGTGGAACTCAAGATTGAGGTGGTGCTGCCTGAGAAGGAGCGGAGCAAGGAGGAACTGTCGGCTAGCGGAAAGGGCAGCCCCCGGGCCTACCAGGGCAATGGCACAGCCCGTCACTTCCACACTGAGGAGCGCCTGCCAGCTCCCCACCCCTACCCTGGCCCTCAGGACTGCGTGGAGGCTGCCGTCTGCCATGTCAAGGACCTGGAGAATGGCCAGTGGGTGCTGGGCCTGGGAGGAGGGATCAGAAGGTCCAAGGTGGGAGGGCAAAGGAGAGGCCATGGATGAGGAGAACTAAGGTGAGGGGATTTGGAAGGGCCTATGACCTGCTTCTGCCCTAGTCATGGTCCTTGGGCTTCTGATGTTCTGGGCCTGCTACCCATGAGGCTGGACACTAAGAAGAGGTGCCCCCAGGAGGAGGTGCCTGTTGTCTGTCCTGACCTCTGAGTGCAGCCTTTCCCCAGGATGCGGGAAGTGGAGCTGGGCTGGGGGAAGGTGTTGCTGGTGAAAGACAACGGAGAATTCCATGCCTTGGGCCACAAGTGCCCACACTACGGCGCACCCCTGGTGAAAGGTGAGAAGTCCAGGGGTGCATATGGGAGGCAGGGGTAGGACCTTCCTATAGGGGGCTTGGCTACTGCACCATCGATGCCCCTGCTCTACCAGCCCCCGGGTCAATTTGACTCTTCCCTAGGCCCTGGGTCCTCATCTATTAGTGAGGTCTCCTGGGCTATGAAGTGAACCAGAAGGTGCAAGGATCCTTGGAGAAGAGCCCCCGATAGTAGCTCCAACCTAGTACCACACTGTTCCAGGAGTGTTATCCCGTGGCCGGGTGCGCTGCCCCTGGCATGGTGCCTGCTTCAACATCAGCACTGGGGACCTAGAGGACTTCCCAGGCCTGGATAGTCTGCACAAGTTCCAGGTGGGGCTGGGAGTGTGGTATAGTGGGAGCCTGGGAGCACAGAGTTGGGGGCTTGAAGCACTCCAAAGTCTGATCCTGAGCAGTACTGCCCTTGCAGGTGAAGATTGAGAAGGAGAAGGTGTATGTCCGGGCCAGCAAGCAGGTGAGGAGTGGCTCATGGCTCAGAGGTGGGGAGGGCATCTTGACTCAGAGAATAGCTTGTTCAAAGGCCCTGCAGTGGGAGAAAGCCTGGCATGTGTGACTACGAGCAGAGTGAAGGGCTGCATGATGGGGAGTGGCTGGGCTAGAGTAGCAGAACCTGATCTGCTGAGATAACCCCAAACGCACCCCACCCCCAGGCCCTGCAGCTGCAGCGAAGGACCAAGGTGATGGCCAAGTGTATCTCTCCAAGTGCTGGGCACAGTGGCAGCACCAATGTGCTCATTGTGGGTGCAGGTTAGTATTGAGGTTATGATAAGGAGGGTGGAGGTGGATGGTAGGAAGTAAGGTGGATGGTAGGAGGTAAGTTGTCTGTTGGCTATGGCCTCCTCCCTTCAGGTGCTGCTGGCCTGGTGTGTGCAGAGACACTGCGGCAGGAGGGCTTCTCGGACCGGATTGTCCTGTGTACGCTGGACCGGCATCTCCCTTATGACCGGCCAAAACTCAGTAAGGTGTGGCTTTAGGGCAAACAGTAACCAGGCACAGGACAGTCAGCACAATGCAGGGCCTGAATCCTTAACCCTCTGGGTCCCCTGTCCAGCCCACTTGGAGCCTTGCTTGTCACCTCTTCAGAGTCTGGCCAGCTGCCAACTACACTCAAATCTGGCTTACCTGTGGTGCCCCCAAAAGATCTCAGTTTGTTGAGTTTTATCCTACAGCCCACATGTAACTCAGGGCTGGCCTCACCCTTCCTGGGGTCCATGTCCTTTGGTATAAAATGGAACAATGGTAGCTTGACACTGTCTCATATTGGCTGTGTCCTGCAGTCCCTGGATGCACAACCTGAACAGCTGGCCCTGAGGCCCAAGGAGTTCTTCCGTGCCTATGGCATCGAGGTGCTCACTGAGGCTCAGGTACGAGATTGAGGATGGTAAACTGGCAGAGAATGGGTTAGTGGGAACCATGAAGAGCATTGGGCCATATGGACCCCTGGGAGTGTTCTACCCTTCCAGTTTCACTGCCCAGGCCTGGGGAGCAGCACCGGACCGTCTTACTAGCAAGATCATGAGCACACACAGGGCCTAGGGAGAGAGAAGATCTCATTCCATCAGGGATGGGAGAGTCTGGTAGGACTTGGGAATATGTAGAGGGCTTTGAGAAGAAGGTGATGTTTTAAGCTTGAAAACTGAATCCTAGGCAGTGTGGGAAGAGACCTCACCGGACATGCTCAGATCTGGCTGGGATCTGGGCATGTTGCAGGACCCAAAAGTGGATGACAAGACACAGGTCCATACCCAGGCCAGCACTTTACCTGTTGGGGGTTGCAGGTGGTCACAGTGGATGTGAGAAACAAGAAGGTCGTGTTCAAGGACGGCTTCAAGCTGGAGTATAGCAAGCTGTTGTTGGCGCCAGGGAGCAGGTGGGAGGGTGTCTTTATTGCCCTCCTTCTTCACTGGGTGGGGCACCAGCCACAATGGGAGGGTCTCACTGAGGCTGCCATATCTCAGCCCTAAGACCCTGAGCTGCAAAGGCAAAGAGGTAGAGAACGTGTTCACTATCCGGACGCCTGAGGATGCCAATCGTGTGGTGAGGCTGGCCCGGGGCCGCAATGCAATTGTCGTAGGAGCTGGTTTTTTGGGTGAGAAGCTGGGGGTGGCAGGGTGGTGGGCAGGCTTTCATAGCCAGTCCCTGGGCATGCTGGATCTAGGAGGTGCAGGGTACAAGATCTGCCAGCCCCTGCCCATCATCTCAGGTATGGAGGTGGCTGCCTATCTAACTGAGAAGGCCCATTCTGTATCTGTGGTGGAGCTTGAGGAAACACCCTTCAGGAGGTTCCTGGGGGAGCGCGTTGGCCGTGCACTCATGAAGGTAAGCCTACCCCAATCCCTTGTCCCTTGATATCCTGAGTGTCTAGTCTAGCCCCTGACCAGGCTCTCATCCATTGCCCACCTGCCCTGACAGATGTTTGAGAACAATGGGGTGAAGTTCTATATGCAGACAGAGGTGTTGGAGCTGCGGGCCCAGGAGGGAAAGGTGGGCCTTTCTCCTGTCTTTGCTGCTTTCTGTCTTCTCTCCCTGAGCCCAGTAGCTGGTCCTATCTGCTCACCCACCCACCCACTCCCTACAGCTGAAGGAGGTTGTACTGAAGAGCAGCAAGGTCATTCGGGCTGATGTCTGCGTGGTGGGCATTGGTGAGTGGATGGGCAGGTGGGCATGAATAATCAAAGCCACCTGCACAAGTTCATAGATGACCTTGAGTTAGCCCCTTCTCCTCCCTGAGCCTTAGTTTCCACATCTTTAAAATGGTGACCCCAACAGTACCCACTTTCTAGGGCCATTGAAAAACACACATACCTGGCTTAGCCCAGGCCCTGCATGGAGCATGTGCTCAATGACTGCTGCAGACTAATAATCAACTCCATACCCTGCTCTGTGTTGGATGAAGAACACAAACTTCTTACTGTTCTACTCTACCAGAAGTGGCAATTTGGAGAAGTGCAAAGCTGGGAAGTAGCAGCACAGGGGTTGGAGAAGCATGGCCTCCTGACCCCTCCAGGGGGCTTCAAGGAGTGCTTCTTGCAGGAGGCAATACTTGAGGCCTGATGGGAGGCACAGGTGTCTGTGGAGTGCAGGCAAAGGGGACAGTATGCATGAAGCCCCATGGTGGGAAGCCTGTGGATGTGATATCTGGGGTAAATTGGATGTGATATCTGGGGTAAATACAGCAGGTGAAGGGTGTGGAACACAGAGAGCAGTGAGGCCAAAGAAGGGTGGAACCAGAGTGTGGACATGGCAGCCTCTGTCCTGCTAGGTGCGGTGCCTGCCACGGGTTTCCTGAGGCAAAGTGGCATTGGTCTGGATTCCCGAGGCTTCATCCCTGTCAACAAGGTGGGGCTGGGTGGGGTGGGAAGGGTGCTGGGCTGGGGGTGGCCAGAGGTGTAGGTCAGTCCCCTGTCCTATCCATGAAGCTCTGGCTCTCTCCTCACAGATGATGCAGACCAATGTCCCAGGTGTGTTTGCAGCTGGTGATGCTGTCACCTTTCCTCTTGTCTGGAGGAACAATCGGAAAGTGAACATCCCACACTGGCAAATGGCTCATGCCCAGGGTATGGCCAGCCCTGAGGCAAGTTGGGGGGCTATCCTAGGGTTTCAGCCTCCCCCAGGATCATGCCTCAGTTGGTCTCCTTTCCTGGATCCTATGTTATGCATTCAAGGCTCTCTAGTGGCCTCACAGCTGGCCTCCAGGTGATCAAACCAGTTTACACAGCAAGCTCTGTGGCTCAACTCCAGAGACTCTCTTTCAGAACCACCTGGATGTACCATTTAGCCAGGGTCAACCTCCCATCCTAGTTTTCTTTCCACTAGTCTCCTTTCCTTTTGTCTTCAAGGATACATCCCACAGAATTTCTGACTTACCTGTACAGTCATGTCTCTCCTCTGAGGGAGAGAAGGATTTAGTAGGCCAGCTTCCCAGTCAGTGCTTTTAACTCCCTTGGACTAATCAACTATCTCTATAAACTCAGTTGTCTTCTGCAGGCCCCATCTAGTCCAGGCTCAGTGGGCACACCGTTTCTGTGGAATAACTTTCCCTTCCTCACACCACTAACCATTAATTCCCCAAACCTCACCCACTGCACACACCTGGTCTGGGCCCCAAAGCTAGAGGGGCCAGTAAATTAACTAACTGAGTGCCTCAGAGAAGAACTCCAGACTCCCAGCCTATGATGGGTACTAGCTCCTGCACCCAACTTCCCTTTTCTCTGCGTTTGCAATTATCTGAAGGTCTGAAACCCCACTCCTAGAACTGATTTCTATTCAAGTTTTCAAGGTCTAAAGTGGCTGCTACGTTGTAAGGAAACAGCCAAATAGAATTCAGGATTTAATTGGGAGGGTCCAGAGTATTCTGATGTATGTCCAACTTTGGGTCCAATGGGGGCATATAGAAACTGGGAAGTCACCCCTGCTATTCTCTTGGGGTCCTGCATGTGACTGTCATTTCTGCTTCCCTGGCTCTTGTGCTCCCTTCTCCTCCCTCTTTGGTCCTAATGTGTCTGATTAAGTTGTCTATGTCCATAAGTGAAATGGTGAAGCGGCCCACAACCCCATGAGCAGACCTTCCAGAGAGGCAGGGCATGTCTGTCATTCAAGTTTTCCAGAGACGCAACCTAGTAACTAGCTTGGAGCCAGGTGTCTCCTTGGTACCTCAGGAGGGCGACCGCCTGTGTAACAATGTACTTCTTGATCTCTAGGGGATCCAGGAATAGCAGCTATGCCTGATAGGGGTCCCTAGAGTGCTGGGGCAGGCGATGTCAGGATGGTGAGGGCAAGGGTCAGGGTTCACATGGTCATGGGTTCTACAGGGCGGGTGGCAGCCCAGAACATGCTGGCTCAGGAGGCGGAGATCAGCACGGTGCCCTACCTATGGACTGCCATGTTCGGCAAGAGTCTGCGTTATACGGGTAACAAGATCCTTGGATGGGGTGGGACCATGATGGCTCTGGGAAGAAGCAATTAGGAACTCTCTGGGGGAAGGCCTAGGGACTACCTAAAAGAAGTAAACAATCGGGGAGGATGTCCTGAGAGGAGTTAAGAAGGCACAGGGTGGGGAATTTGTGAAGTCCATCTCCTTCCCTGGCTTATGTGGTATCACCTACCTGTTCGGCCCTACAGGCTACGGAGAAGGCTTTGACGACGTCATCATCCAAGGGGATCTAGAAGAGCTGAAGTTTGTGGCTTTTTATACCAAGTGAGAACAACTGGGTGCAATGGGGGTACAGAGCTGCTCGTTTGGGAATGGAGAGTCATCCCAGAAAAGTGCTCCTGAGGAGGGGGCTTAGCTAAAAAGGCGGAATAAGTGGCAAAGGGAGGCAGACAGCTGGACAGGAGGCACTGCAGAGGAAAGATGAGGAAGAGATCACTAATAGCTGACTTTGTTGTGCATTGGGCCAGATGATTTATCTTCAAAACAGCTCTTTGAGGTGGGTGTTGACAGCCCACTTACAACAAGAAAAGCCACACAAAGAATGGTGGTGTCAGAACAGGACCCTAGTCCTGAACCCTGCTGAGGATTGGAGCTTCCCTAGGGAAATCTGATGCCTGTGCTGGGACAAATAGGGAGGGATAGGTGCTCAGGAAATTCCTGTGACCCCAGGAAAGATCCCTCCCTGGGTCCCAGTGATGAGGAGTGTGTCTTCAGGAAGGAAGGCTTTTGCCAAGCAGCACTTAGGCTTAGCCACCCTCTCTCTGCAGAGGTGATGAGGTGATCGCTGTGGCCAGCATGAACTATGATCCCATCGTATCCAAGGTGGCTGAGGTGCTGGGCTCTGGTCGTGCCATCCGGAAGCGGGAGGTGGAGTGAGTGTGGGCTTGGGAGGTCTTGGGGTGAAGGAAGGAAAGCCCTGAAGGATTGGCTTAAGCTGTCATGGCAGCCAATGTCTCCTAAGTTATCCAGGACCCTCGCTCTTGCTCCCCATTTGTCTGAGGTTTCCAGGGCTAAGAGGGCAGAGATTATACTTTGAGAGAAAGCTGGTGTACTCAGAGGGGAGAGATGGGAAAGGGGTGTGTGTCCCAGGGCATCACCACTGCTGCAGGGAGAGTCAAGGTCCACTGCTTGCATCCAAGTACCTCTCCAGCCCTGGTATCCCTCACTGAATGTGGTTTTTCTTACCTTAGTAGAAACACAGCTAGTGATGCCCTTGGGTACACCCTGTATAGAGATGTGGGGTGGTTATGTGGGGCCTGGGAGGCACTGGACGCCAGCCATTAACCTCATTCCAATATGGTTCCAGTGAGAGTCCTCTGTGTACAGAGAGCTCCTAGGGACTGGGGAAAGCCTGCAGGCCACTAGGGGGCTGGAGGTTATGGGTCATGCTAGGCCTTAGTCTGGAAATAATGGAGAACCAAGAACAGACATGACGAATGACATACTCTTTCCCTGGCCTTCTCTGTTTTTCCCTCTTGGCTTCACAAAGGCTGTTCATGCTGCACAGCAAGTATGTGTGTCCTCTGTCCTTATTATTAACCATTCTGAACCTTTCCCACTTCAGCCCCAGAGCCTCTACTCAATGATCTACTCCTCTCTGCCCAAGTACATTTCCCTGCTGGGCACCAAGGACAGGGCAGACCACTCTATTCTCAAGAGTCAGCTGCTAACGGTGCCCAGAGCAGGGAAACTGCCTTCTTCTTCCCTTATCCTATCTCTCCTCATTCCTGCAGGACTGGCGACATGTCTTGGCTCACAGGGAAAGGATCCTGAGTTCGAGTGTGACTTGGGCAGGCATGCTGGGGTACAAGGAACAAAGGCCAAGCCTTGGGGGCAGGTGCCAATCTTCAGTTTCCCAGCATCCCGCAGGGCAGAATTTGAGCCCTCCCAATGCTTGCCTTTGGCTGCCTGGATCCCTTCCAGGACGGCCTCTGCTGCCTCCAGAAGATGCTCACCCATCAGGGCCTCAGCTGCCACTGACATCTGGCACTGGAGGTGGGACAGGCCATGTCTCTTTTCCCTCTGTTGGGACTGGTCCCCTGGAGGACCCTGCAACATGTTAGACATTATCTTAAAATTAAAATGCACACATTTGCAGATCTGTGTGATTCCAGTGTAATTGGGCCAACACAAGGACAAAAGCAGACCACATGATAAACAGGTTCACCAAGGAAGTTAAGCTTGTGAGCACCCTAAGGAGATAGCAACTGATGCTCTTCTTTCCACAAGGTCAGGGAAAGTATCTCCAACAAGTGCCTTTGGACCTTAATTTGAAAAGAAGAGCATTTAAATAAAAAGGGACAGCATGTGCAAAGGACTTGGGATAGAACACACATGTTTCTTCAGAGGTCAGCTGCAGCTCATGCCTAAAACTTTGGGGGCTCTAGGAGCTGGGTCCTAAGACAGATACCATGCTTTTCATAGCACTTGGAGCTTTCTGAATCCTCATTTAGCAGGTGAAGAAGCAAAGGGTCTGCTATTAAGTGGAATAAGAAGTCTGAGGCGCTGAGCTAGACTTGCTTCCCAAAGGGGAGATAAGGCGGCCGGGGGCTGGGGGCGGAGGAAGACGGGGCGGGTGGAGGCTGGTCTCGAAGAGCAAGCAGGAAGAGAACAAACAGCTCGGCCGCCAGCGACACGGAACCTTCCATCTAGGATCCCAGGAGCTGCAGACGATCTAAGCAGGAGCCACGCGTAGGCGCAGGGCATGCCGGGAACTTCGAGTCGGCCGCCGCTTAAGATTAACCGGCGGGGTGGGCCTGGAAGGCGCCGGGAAGTGCCGTCCTGACAGATTTGGGTGGGGCCACCGCATTTACCGGAAGGGGAAACCTGGGCCCTGTATTTCGCCAGAAGTGCTTTCCGCAGTGTTACACGCTCCCGGGCAAGGTCGGCCACCAGATTCCACATTTACCCCAGCTGTCATGAGGAGTGCTAGACTCGTCGGGAAGTGTGGGTTGCCTTAATCGTGACGCTAGCCGGAAGTGCGGCGCCGTTGGCGCAGGGCTCGCTGGGAAATGTGGTCCCTTCTGGCGGTCCGGGGCGGTGGCCGTAAGACCAGCAGACAGGGTGGCCAATCCGGCGTGCACCCGGGATGTCTGGGCCGGGTGGCTCCGGGGGCCCGATCGGGGCCGGGGCCCTGGCAGGTGGGGCGCGCTCCAAGGTAGCTCCGAGTGTCGACTTTGACCACAGCTGCTCAGACAGTGTCGAATACCTGACGCTCAACTTCGGGCCCTTCGAAACAGTTCATCGGTGGCGGCGCCTCCCGCCCTGCGACGAGTTCGTGGGTGCCCGGTACGGCGGGATTCTGAAAGCACTGGGAGTGAGGAGGTCCCAGGATGGGGCCTTGGGGCGAGGCTCGGGCGTCAAGTCCTGGAGTAGAATCTGGTAGTGGGTCGGGTGGTGTCCAGGGCAGAGAAAGGTCTTTCTAGGTAAACCCAGAGTTGGGTGACTCTTATTTCTCTATAGTAGGGGTCCCACTAACTTTGTGGTGGGGTGGGAAGTCTAGAAAATCCTCTGGTGGTGTCGAGCATCCCCATGTACAGGGTCCTTTGGGGTTGTGGTGGAATGTAGGTCTCTGTAGTTCTTGGCAGTTGAGAGATATTTTCTAACTTCTGTGGCAGTACCACATGTAGTCCCATTCCTTGGGTGCCACCCACTAGTGTCCTGGCTTTACCACCATCCACCTCTTTTTTCTTTCTAGGCGCAGCAAGCACACAGTGGTGGCCTATAAAGATGCCATCTATGTATTTGGTGGGGACAACGGGTGAGTCTAAGTATCAGGTGTTTGGACCAGGTAGGGAGAAGAGTGTGGTCTCAGATTGGACCTGTGGAGCTCCACTGCTATCTTTCCAGACATTAGCTAAGTACTGTAAGCTTTAGTTTACCCTCTTTGGGGTTACCTGCATTTACGTTGCAGATTGTGGTGAGAATTAAATGAGATCCTGCCCTCAAGTCCTCCTCACAGCATTTGGTGGGTAGCGCATGCTCAGTCCCTCTTGTTTTGAGTGAGTAGATGTAGGTTTTTTTTTTTCCTACTTTTATTTTATTTATTTATTTTTATGTGGTGCTGAGGATCAACCCAGCGCTTCACCCATGCGAGGCGAGCACTCAGCTGCGGAGCCATACCACAGCCCCAGATGTAGCTTTTTTTTAAATATATATTTTTTAGTTGTTGATGGACCTTTATTTTATTTATTTATATGCAGTGCTGAGAATCAAACCCAGTTCCCCACACTAGGTTGATTCTCAGCATGCTAGGCAAGCACTCTACCACTGAGTCACAACCCCAGCCCTAGATGTTGCTTTGAAAAACACATATGTACCCTTGCTGCCAGCCTTGCCAGTCACTTTTTTCTTTCCTCAGACTTCCCTCTGGGCTTTATCCACATGCTTACTCTGAAGCCAAAAAGTATGGAGCAGTTTTATTTATTTTGTACATCTTCCACTTTTTTGTGAATGTTTTCCTGTATTGCATAGACTCCTAGCAAATAACTTGATAATGATCTAATGTTCAGTTGGTGGGCACACCTCCATTCACATGAATTGCCACCAGTTAAATTGTAGTTAGTTTCTCTGTGCTGAGGGTAGAGTGCCTATACATTATCCATCCTGCTCATGAGTCCTAGTTCTGCCTCTCAGCCTCAGAACCTGGCCTAAAGCCCAGAAAGGGCATTGTTGGGGTTGGGGATTTAGCTCAGTGGCAGAGCGCTTGTCTAGCATGCGCAAGGCCCTGGGTTCGGTCCTCAGCCCTGGAAAAAAGAAAAAAAAAAAAAGCCAGAAAGGGCATTGCAGCCTTAGTCCAGTAGGACTCCTTGGGGGCGCTGACCTGAGGTTGGAGGGGTAATTTGCAATCATATCACGACCTGCACACTAGACAGAAGGGCCTCCTTGGCCCTGATCCCCTGGTATCCAACCTGTTTCTGCTAGTCTCTTTTCCCAAGGGCAGTCAGGGGGATCTATTTACAAATACAAGTCAAAGTATATTCCTCCTCAACTCATAATCTTGTGACATCTCTCTACCTCTCTGAATAGAAGCCCAAGTTCTCAAGACAGTCTGTGATACCTATACACTTGTGCCTCCCACTGTTCCTCTGCCTATTCATTTGCTGCATAGGGCCATGCTGGCTGCCTTGCTACCTTTAGATTGTTCCCAGTATGCTCCCACAATAGCTCTTTACATTGGCCATTCCCTCCTTTTCACACTTCCTGCCTCTCTTCTGATCCTCCCTTTGAGTAAGGCCTTTCTTCACTTCCTTTACCTTTTGCCACCTCCATTTGTCCCTGAAGCACACAGATGTTGGATGTAATCTGTGTCCTCTGCTATGTCAAGGCCTGTGCTCCTTTCATCCCAGTATCCTAGCACCTAGATAACTCAATAAATGTCAAAAAGTGGGATGAAATAAGAAAGTGGCATCTATTCAGAGATAGTTATTGGAGCCTTAACAAGAATCTTCCTGGGGCTGGGGATGTCGCTCAAGGGGTAGCGCGCTCGCCTGGCATTCGTGTGGCCCGGGTTCGATTCTCAGCACCACATACAAACAAAGATGTTGTGTCCGCCAATGACTAAAAAATAAATATTAAAATTCTCTCTCTCTCTTTCTCTCTCTCCCTCTCTCACTCTCTCTTTAAAAAAAAAAAAAAAATCTTCCAAACCAAAAAAGGCCTTGATGTCAAGCACAAGGTAGTAGGTGGGAAATGGGGAACCTCTGTCCTCAGGAGTATTCTGTAGCGGGTAGTTGTGTAATAACTATGGAGCAATAAGTAGAATAGTCTTTGCTATGATGTGTCAAAAGATAAAATCACCACAGGGCTGGGATTGTGGCTCAGCGATGGAGTTCTTGCCTAGCATGTATGAGGCACTGGGTTCAATTCTCAGCACCGCATATATATAAGTAATGGTTCATCAACAACTAAAAAAAAATTTTAAATAATATAAAATTACAACTAATTAATTATAGAGCTCTTTGGCTTTTATTTTTGATTCATGAATTGAGGCAGCCTCCATTCTACAGATTAGAATGAGAGTTCTCACTATACAAGAGCAACCCAATGGGTCTTTTAAGGTGGGAACAAGGAAACCGAACAAAAAGCTGATTGGTTAACATTAGGTTACTTCAGGTTACCTTTTTTATAAGGGTTAAAGCAGAGGGGATTTCCTTATTACACTAAAGGAGGTAGACTGGAATTGATTGTTTTTAGGAAAAACTGATCTGTATTGGGATCTCTCTGCTTCTTTAAAGTTCCAGTTTATGAAGCATTTGGCATGAATACCTTCTATTTTGGTTTGATTTCTAGCTTCCCATAATTTTTTTTTTTTTTTTGTGGTGCTGGGGGTTGAACCCAGGGCCTTGTGCATGCAAGGCAAGCACTCTACCAACTTAACTATATCCCCAGCCCAGTTTATTCTTTTTTTTTTCTCCCATATTTTTGTTCAACAAAGGAGACACTAAGAAACAGGTTACAAGGTGTTGTGATATACAAAGCATGATGGTGCATGCCTATAATCCCAGTGATGACTCTGGAAGCTGAAATGAGAGGATTGAAAGTTTGAGGCCAGCCTCAGCAATTTAACAAAATGTTGTTTCAAAATAAAATAAAAATAAAAATAAAAAAGAGAGAAGGAAACAGGAAATTTATCTTCCTTAGGTTGCAACTCTGTAGCCTGTCAGTAGACTGTCAGATCAACGAGATCAAAGAAAGATGGCCTCCTCCTGGGGCAGGATTGTGGATGGGGTGGGGAAAAAAGGAGGATGGGGAGGAATTAGCCATAACATTAACTTGTCAGCTCCTGAATTCCTGGCTGTATGGCCTCAGACACAACCTTTTTTTTTTTTTTTTTTTTTTAATTTTTTTAGTTGTAGTTGGCACAATGCCTTTATTTTATTTTATTTATTTTTATGAAGTGCTGAGGATCGAACCCAGCGCTTTACCACTGAGCCATAACCCCAGCCCCCAGGCACAACCTTTTATCTCCCAGGCTGTTTGTTCTTCTTTAAAATGGAGTTTGGGGGCTGGGGATGTGGCTCAGGCGGTGGCGCGCTCACCTGGCATGCGTGCGGCCCGGGTTCGATCCTCAGCACCACGTGCCAACAAGGATGTTGTGTC